CCCCCCCCCCCCCCCCCTTCACATTCACACACACACTTTTTTCCAGTTTTACTTATGATCTTTCAAAATTCTTTCAAGATAACCGTCATTAACTCCGCCGAACAGTAAGCTGGCAATTTTGGATTTAAAGTGATTTTTTTGAAAAGTCATGGGCTCTGAATTTCTAAATACTCCTCCAAGGGATTCATGTGATTTGCATTAGTCAATAGCATGCTAAAACAATGAAGATGAATCTAAGACATTAATTATCATTGGAGATGCTGATATTTTGCTATCTCATACAGTGTTGCCACGACAAAGGTATAAATTAAAACGGGAAACTGAAAGAGTCTCATATCTTCTAAGTGCATTGTCTGATTTAGATCAAATTGGGGCTGTACATGTGTTCATGGTGGCTGATCACATGAATGAGGCAATGGTGGTTCACGGTCATAGCGCCACCAGCTGATAGCAGGAAGTGTGGCACTCAAAATAGACTTTGAAGAGGTCCTATTACATTTATGCACTTTAATGCATGCTCTCACGAATTAGTTTTTCTAGACCTGTCATCACTGCTTGCAGCTATATTTATGTTTGCAATTCCGCTCTATGCCAGCAGGAGCACAAAAAGCACATCACCTTTAAATATACGTAATCCAGACGCTGTCATTTAAGAAGCAAAACATCTCTGCAATGTAGAATCACTAAAAGTAACTTTCAGCTAAAATCAAAGATATAAATGTAATGTGTAATTTCAGCCTTACATGGAGTTCCATTTTTCAAGAGCAAGATGCCCCTCAGGCCAGTGATTTCCAATTGTATAAACAATAATCCCCATAATTAATAACCGGGCCCCTAATAAGCCCCTCGAGTATCCACGTGTTCTATCAAGGTTGACTTCAGTTCCATAAATGGACATTCAGAAAACTCCTCAAGCCACAAGCAAATATGACAAGCAGTTTCCATTTGTGTTTGTTTGACAGAGAGCTCCCGATCTCCAGTGTCTGTTCAGGTTGTTATGACCAGCAGGGCAGTATGCACTTTCTCTCATTGTCTTATAAATACATGATGTATGCATTCAGGTCTCTCTCAGTGAACAGCTGAGCTGTTTGGCCATTTCTCCGCAGGTTATTTTGACCCAGGAGGGCAGCGTAATGAGGTTTGCCAAGGCTTAGGTGATTCTTGCCGTCTTCCTCCGCCTCCCCCCGTGCCGTCTGGCACCGAGAATGGCTGGTTGTACTGTTTTCTCAGGGCCCGCTCTCAATGAATGCTTCCAGGGCAGCTTGGCTTGAAGTGCTTGGGTTTCCTTTCTCTCGGGTAGCCAGGTTTTAAGGGCCGATCATCTTACACAGGTGTTACATATTACACAGGCCACACTCCCGCCACTGTCTGCAGCGAGAGCGCGGGGATAGACTTTTAGGAATGAAACCTAAACTCCATCTACATCCAAACCTATTTTGAGCTCCTGCGGCTACCTATGAAATCTTTGGAAAAACTGGCACAAATCAACAAATATCTATTATGTTGACATGACAAACTTGAGTTTAGGTTTTCATAGTGCACCCAAAAATGACACTTCTGTCATCATTTACTCACCCTCATGTTGTTTCTTTCTTCTGTTGAACACAAAACCAGATATTTTGAAGAATGTTGGTAACCAAACAGTTGCTGGTAGCCATTGACTGCCACAGTATGAAACGAAATACTATGAAAATCAACAACTTCTTTTGTGTTCAATAGATGAAAGTAACTAATACTGTTTTGGAACAACATGAGGGTGAGTAATTGATGACAATTTTCATTTTTGTGTATCTACAGTACAACCATAAAAACATTTTTAATAAAGTGCCTGGGATTGCTAAGCCTTCGTGTTCTCGTCATCTCAACATTTAATATTTTAGTTCAAATATTACAAATATTTTTAATGCAGTGCCTGTGAGTGCTATGTTTTTTTCTGCAGTTAAAATATAGTTAAAAGTTTGGAATAATTAAGATTTTTTTTTAATGTTTTTGAAAGAAGTCTCTTATGCTCACTAAGACTGTGTTTATGTGTTCAAAAATACAGTATAAAAGTAATATTTTCAAATATTATTACAATTTAAAATAATTGTAATATTTTTTTAAATATAATTTATTTCTGTGAAGGCAAAGCTGAATTTTCTCCTTTTCCTATCCAATTATTGTTGATGTTCAATGATTATTAATTGTTCTTATAAAGTCTATTTTAAAATATATTCAAATAGAAAACATTTCTTTTAAATTGTAATAATATTTCACAATATTGCTGGTTTTTTCTGTACTTTTGATTCAATATCCAGCTTTGGTTAGCATAAGAGACTTTTTTCAGAAACAATAATGATCATAATTATTTCAAACTTTGACTAATGCATGCATACTAATTTGCAAGTGAACCCTAACAATGCAGACACATTTGCAAAGGGTTGTGGGTAAAAAAGGTTCATTAACGTAGTGATTTAGGAAGCAATTCACACAGAATTCACTTTCAAACCAAGAGGGTTTCTGTTGGCCAACAGCGGATTCACATGACTAACTTGAAGCCATTGCTAAATTGGGAAATATTTCACCCTCACAGGAAATTCCAGATTGCATGAATTCCTATTAAAATGACTGGATTTTGCCCACAAAAAAGTAAACAAACAAAATCGCTGAACACCAGTAAATGTGACGGCACCTTACTAGTATGTCTTAAAGGTGCCATAGAATGGAAAACTGTATTTACCTTGGCATAGTTGAATAATAACAGTTCTGTACATGGAAATGACATACCGTGAGCCTCAAACACCATTGCTTCCTCCTTCTTATGTAAATCTCGTGCATGCAAAAGACCACTGACAAATAGGCAAATCAGAACATAACACCGACTGTGACGTTACAGTCGGGATCACTAATAGTTATGCCCCCAACATTTGCATATTTGCGTATGTGAAGAAACAAGTGAGGATAATAGCGAAAATGGCAGATCATGGAAATAAATGTTATGTTCCAGGCTGTGCAGGGGATGTGATGTGCAGGGATGGGTTGGTGTCTGTATTCAGAAAGGCACGGAAAACAAATAACATGCGTTCTAATAAAATAACGCGAGCCACTAAAGGGACATGGTTAGCTGCTTGCTAACAGTAGCCTGTTACATTACAACACATAAGATTTCACTTAACACATAAACAGAGTAAGGAGAGATGACTGAGGACGATGGCGAATGATTTAGTGATCCTGAGCACCACTGACAAGCACCTGGTCTTGTGTGGTAAGTACTGCCGCTGTAGTTTACACAGAGCACGTGCGAGCGCAAATCTCGAAAGTAAAAAGCGATCGTGCATTCGAAAGCAGTTTCAATGCCCCGCATATTAATAGCAGCTCCCTGATGCCCACATTTTATATACAGTATAATTACCCAATGATATAACTGCGAGAGACAGTATTGAAATATATATTTTCCCTGTGTTTCCTTCCTGCTGTGTGAGCTACTGAAATGAGCCGCACTGTGAAACAGCCAATCAGAGCAGAGCTCAACATTGAGCCGCACAGTGAAACAGCCAATCAGAGCAGAGCTCAACATTATTATTCATGACCCTTCCAAATAAGGTAAAAACAGAGCATTTCATTCTAGCGACAAATCCTAGGGTTGTAAATGGACATGTAAAACCGTTTCTGGAGATTTTTTGCCCTTACCTAAGCCACATACCTTCTATGTAGATATCAGAGAACAATTTAAAATATTGTATCAATGCATATTCTATGGCACCTTTAACTGAAGTTGTGTTATCAGTCCAGTCTTGATTTGTGCATAGAAATGAGACAAGTGTGAGCTGTATAATAGAGCTGTATAATAGGGACCCGTTCAGTTTTGTTCTGGCTTACTTTGCCTACTTACGCTGGGCTGTCACAGTGTCGCATGGAAGAGGAGACGCCGCCGCCGCAGGTACGACTGCACTCGCCCCATGTGGTCCAAGGTCCCCAGCTTCCATCCACGCTCTGCGGCCACGTCCCAAACGCCACACATTCACCCTGATAGCACCACTGATACACAGATATCCAGAAATCATTGTTAAAAAAAAAAAGCTCTAATAAAATAATCTTTTCTGCTGTAGGATTTCATTTGCAGTTTTTTTTTCCAAATTTCAAGTGTTCTCAGTTAGGAAAACTTCTACAGTAGTGAATAAAAAACAAACAAAAACTTTCTACCACAAAAAAAATAATTTTTGTGTTCACATTTGCCCTATTTCCATTTCATTTTTCCAAAAGTGAAAAAAAAGATTAATTACATTTATCAGAAGAGATATGGATGAAACGTATATATATATATATAAAAAAAAAAACATATTCATTGCCATTAAAGTGAAATGACTAAACCTACACATGAGGGCCTGAGAAAAATGCTAATTTTAAAACAAAATTTCAGATGGCACTTAGAGGCTTTTGCATCTGAATTTTGTTGATTACTTGTTACATGTGCAATTGGTTGTTCATCATGTGTTTTAATACATTATACTTTCTACAGGTAAGTTTTAATGTTTTATAACTGTGGTTTGTGAGCTGCGTAAATAAAATACTTTTATAATGCATTATATACACAGGCGGTAACACTTTATTTTAAGGTGTCCTTGTTACACATTACATGTACTTACTAATGTAATAACAATTAATTATGCATACTTGCATGCAAGTAACCCTAAGCCAAACCCTAATCCTAAACCTAACCATATAGTAAGTACATGTAGCTAATTAATATTACTCAGTACTTAAATGTATAATTACACTGTAACAAGGACACCTTAAAAATAAAGTGTAACCAGTGCAGGCACAAGTAAAGTGTTACTGAACATTCTCTTGCTCATTATTACAGTTAGGATTGCTAAACCTTATTGTAATCGGTATGTCCGGCAAAGTAAAGTGCAGCTCTCATTTGAGAGATGTCTCTAGGCTAAATCTTGTTTTGTGTAAACAGCGTCTTCACCTACTGTCCCTAATCTGAATTCACTCCAGAATAAAAACAGACTCAAGGCTTTGTAATGCCTCAGGACCACATGGAATCTTCTCAAGGCAAGATCTCATAATCCATCCAGCCCAGGGGACACGAGGACAGGGATTGGAGACACTGGAAACTGTCGTCACTGTGCAACTGTGTCAGTAGGTTAAGTTCTGGCTCTTTCTCACTCTCTCACTCTCTCCCTCTGTCTGGAGGGATCTGGGTAGTTTGTTCTTGTTCTCAGACTCTGTTTCTTTCTCTCGTCCACAGACAGAGAACTTGGCAAGGGAAAGGCTGTGTCCTCGGCTACCAGTGTTTGAAATCAGGGTAGTGTGCTAAGATACTAGCAGGCAGGTCCAAAATAACCTCTTATACACTGTAACAAGGACACCTTAAAAATAAAGTGTAACCAGTGCAGGCACAAGTAAAGTGTTACTGAACATTCTCTTGCTCATTATTACAGTTAGGATTGCTAAACCTTATTGTAATCGGTATGTCCGGCAAAGTAAAGTGCAGCTCTCATTTGAGAGATGTCTCTAGGCTAAATCTTGTTTTGTGTAAACAGCGTCTTCACCTACTGTCCCTAATCTGAATTCACTCCAGAATAAAAACAGACTCAAGGCTTTGTAATGCCTCAGGACCACATGGAATCTTCTCAAGGCAAGATCTCATAATCCATCCGGCCCAGGGGACACGAGGACAGGGATTGGAGACACTGGAAACTGTCGTCACTGTGCAACTGTGTCAGTAGGTTAAGTTCTGGCTCTTTCTCACTCTCTCACTCTCTCCCTCTGTCTGGAGGGATCTGGGTGGTTTGTTCTTGTTCTCAGACTCTGTTTCTTTCTCTCGTCCACAGACAGAGAACTTGGCAAGGGAAAGGCTGTGTCCTCGGCTACCAGTGTCTGAAATCAGGGTAGTGTGCTAAGATACTAGCAGGCAGGTCCAAAATAACCTCTTGAAGAATGTCTTATCTAACAGACGCGCTGTTGTAAAGCCTAGTGAGCGGCCTCCGTCAGCATCATTTTAAGGTAGTGTATCATATGCATGCTTTGAAGGCTGTTTAAAAAGTAGGCAGCATGATTATGCTGCTCCCTAACAAACTGTACTTTGTTTTTTAACAACACTCCCAAGGCAGCATCACATACTGCATTGTGACATACTCGGTGAAAACTTGACAATGATAGTAAAACCTCTTTTTTTTGGGGGGGGGGGGTTTGAATAAATAATATAGACACAAGTGACATAAATAATGTAAAATACATATAAATATAATATAATATAAATAATGTAATAATTATTATGTATTATATCGTTTATAAGAAAGAGATGCGTGGTTACTTTAGAGAAAGGACAAAAATTGTTTAGTTTGTGACAATTATTGCTAAATGATTTGTTGATATATTACAGTGTTTTTTCCCCAGTGGATGATTCCATTGCTGATAACTAATAGATACATAATATCTATAAGTGCCTGATATAATGCTGATACACACAAACAATTTATAATGTATATAATATAATATACATACAAATGCTTAAATTAACACTTAATTTAAATACATCAACAAATTTAAAACATTACATTAAAAAATACATTAAAATATTGTATCTTTTTATTCATATTCACAATTTTAATTTTTTTTTCATTTAAAAGAAATTTTTATTATTTTACAAGACTTTCAGCAGATTGTTTTTTTAAAACTTTTTTGCATTTTAATTTTTTTTTATAAATAACAAGAATAATTAATCATCTTAATAATAACAACTCAATAATCGTATTTAATCTTAAATTTTATTTTATAAGTATTTAAAATTCACGAAGACTACCATTTGACAAGAGTGTCAGTAGATTATGGAATTGATATAAGAGGCAACACATATTTTTGTTCATTTGCTCAGTGTTGGCCAATGCAGATACAGTAAATTGGCTGGTATATCACTAAAAGTATATTATATATCGCTATTACTGTCACTATTATCATAAAACACTGATAAATCAGTGCATTTATTGAGAAAGTAAATAGAGTCAATTTTGATTTCATGTTGTCACATCACATTTAAACAAAGAGTGGAAGAACGTCTTCAGTGACAGATTAAGAGTAATCTCTGCCTTGAAACGGGCGGCTTTCTGGCATTGTGCTTCCTGGAGTGTTCGACAGTCATTCTTTACGACGTGACAAATTCGTTATCAGTGGCGTTGGTGGAAGGCATATTCAGTAGCATGTGTGGTCACCTCGTCTTTTCATTTCTCGTCTTTCTGGAGCTGGCAGGGCCTCCACTCCATTACACGCTGGGTGAGAAATGGCTGACATTCGTATTCCTTTGATGCCGACCCAGCCAGAGGCAGACATAAGTACGCCACCCGCTAAAAAAAAACAGCGGCTCAACCTGGGGCTCACTGCTTGTCCAAGACAACGCACAAGAGCTTGGCAGTAAATAGATCCAGTGAGCGAATGGTAACAAAGACCGACAGCTCGTGGTCCTCGTCCATTCTTCCTCTAGAGCCATCCTACGAACGAGGACAATGGCCACTCTAATCTTTGTTAAAACTGTCTCTCTAACCTGGACCGGCAGAAATGTGAACTGATGACCCAAACGCTGTGTGCATGAGTGAACACTGGGAATAGGCTTTCTTATTCCCATATCTGGTACAATGAGAGCAGGGACAAACGCCACACCCGGAGCCAATCTCTTCTCTAATCTGTCAGGAGTCCGTTTCCCACTACCTGCCATTTCATAACCTTTCCCATTGCATAAATCTTTCCGACGTTGGCACGCTGACTTACCCCCTTTTCAATGGTGCTGGTCTGGCACAGGGTTCCTTCTGCTGCGGGGATACTGTTGGTGACACAGCGGTTACTTTTGCTAAGGCACCAGAGCTCTCTACACACTTCCTAGGAAAGAAGGCAAAAGCAAGTTGGTCAGAATAGATCAATTCTCAAGGGACAGAAAAAATAGACACGAGACCAGCATACTGTGGTGGACTGGTTTCCCCAACAGACTTTTTACAAGGCCGCATGAAATTGGTTCATTTCTGCATTGAAACAAGATGTTTGGGAGGTGCATATTGAAAGGACCTGCCCCTTTTTAATAGCCAATAGGCTTTAGTTACACCATTGCTAATATGCGACTTGCTGGTCAGTGGCATATTTGATTGAACATTTCAGAAAAAATGTTTGCAAGTCTTAATCTGGTGATACCTATTAGTTAAATTTTCAACCCTATTCAATTTTGAAATGTCATTTTTCAAAAAGCTACTTTCTAAAAAATGCTGTCTTATTTTTTTTTTTACCCAATTGCTGGATTCAGCCTGTTGGGACATTTTATTGGGTTGTTTTTATATTTTTAGTTTTTTTTCGTAACTAAGGCCCTGTCCACACGAATGCGGTTATTTTTAAAACTGCAGCTTTTTCTATGCGGTTAGGCTGTTCGTCCACACGCAAACGCAGCACCAGTTCACTGAAACCAAACATTTTTGAAAACGCCTGCCAGGGTGAAGATTTTCAAAAACTCCGGTTGCAGTGTTATCGTGTAGACAGCGAAACCGGAGTTTTTGGCTTGTGACGTCGTAGCCTGCACTGTTATCTCCACCTACTGGAAACTTTGTCAGGCTTCTGATTGGCCAACATGGCTTTACGGTTGAGGTTATATCGCCACCTGTTGGTTAGGCATGCTCTTGACAGTGCTTCATAGCATGCGTTTGCGTTTTCATGTGGACGGAGATTTTTTTTAAAACGGAAGAAGGAAAAACTCGTAGGCTTTTTTTCAGTATTTTTTTCTACCAAACCACTGGGTTGAGCCTGTCTCCATAGAAACAACCCAGCTGCTGAGTTACAGTCAGAGTGTGGGCTTTTTGTGTCCACTACAGGAGAGAGAGACATTCTCAGCACCGCTGATTTGATGCACTTCTTCAGCGAAATAAAGGTCTGTATACCTTTTATTTCATTTATAAAGTCTTTACTGTGCTGTAAATTGTATTATTTTATGCAACGCAACATAAGGACGAGATGTCAGTCAGCTGCATCAGCAGCGGTCACTTCACATGATGGAAACGCCTTTTGACTTGCATAACATAAACTGATTTTATTCCTTATAATAATGAGTTTAATTTAATTTGATGTTAAAATATGTTCTCTAATCTCAGTACTGTTTATTTATGGGCAGGTTATGGAGTCAGTCGCGGCATCTTTCAGCTACGAGTGAAATGCGAGGCGGCAGTCTGAGGTTCACAGTTCCCCCACGAACAGCAGCCCTTCACTGGCTAAAAGCACTATTTTGGTAAAAAGAAAATTACAGAGAATGGTTGATTACACTTAAATGAAAATGCTACTTTTAAATGTTACATTGTTTGTGTCTAAAATGCTTGTTAAATGTATGTAATATTGTAAACTATGCTGTATTCACCCAAATAAATTCAATTTGTCTTGTATTTTGTACGTGTTCTTGTACAATTCCTGATTCCCTAAAATTTACATCACTTCATAAGATCAGTATAGAAGTAGAAAGTGTCAGTTTACATTTTTTAGAACTGCCTTATAAGTATTTGACAAATGCACCAAAGAACTAACTTCCATATGCTCTAAAGGAACCATGCTGGGGTCTGAAGTTTGAGCATAGGAAGACATAAGGCTTTCCGTACATTACAAGTGTAGCTTTGTAGAACCCTGCATTAGATTTCCCATTAAAGTGCACCAGCTCCCTTTAAAGCCTGAACTTCACAGGATTTACAGGACAGAGAAGTGCCCCCATGAAAAAGACTTATGATAGGGAGCACCGCCGCTGACCCCAGGTCAGTAAATAAGACTCAGCTGCCCAGCCCATCCAGATTAAATAAAGCGGCAAACTGACACTCTCAGGTTGCAAAAGCTCCACCTCTACGGCTGGTTTTAATAAGGTTTCCTGCTGGCCCATTCAAGATGCCCATGCTGAGAAGGTCAGAGGGGTAGGCTTGACCAGCGAGACCCCAGCACTGACGACTTTAAGCTGGGAGTGCAGGTTAAAAATGGGCCGAATTCACTAAGGCCAAAGTAATTACTGCTATCGAACAGTTTTTACATTTTATTTTATTAAGTTATGGGACACTAAGTGGCTGGAATTAGAATTTCAATATGAAATAAGCATATAAAGGATCTTTCGATTTGTGGCTATCTGTGCAAATTTTTACAAAGTGTTCCATTTCAGTCATAGCTTTGGTCTTATGATGGAAATAGCCTTTAAATATATTAAATAATTATTTCTATGTATGTAACACTTTTGTTTAGTTTTTATCATGTTTTCATTGTGTTTTGGTTACGTCTTTCTTGTTTTGTCATCTGACTTAGTTTTTCTGTCTGTTTAATTACTCACCTACTCAACTTTCGGTTCACCTGTCATTTAGTTAATTATTTCATTAGTTCCAGTTTCTTTAATCCTTTGTCTGGTATTGTCATGTTGTGTTTTACACACTGTTTCGTTTGTGTTTCTTCTCTATTGGATTCACTTTGATTAATCTAATACATTTCTTTTGAATTATTTTGTCTACTTTCGTCATTCTTTGACCTAAACGTGACTGAATAAAGGACCCACTAATAAAGAGGAAGTTTGCCTCGATTAACTTTGGCCCGATGGGGAACCCCTTTGAGCCCAATGGGGCAAAAGTATTAATTTTCCAAGGAGGAAGGAACCTGGAGGCATATGTGGAGGAGTTCATCATTGCCAGCCACCTCATCATCTGCAGCGACAATCAGCTTATAGAGGGATTTTGTGTTGGACTGGATGACAAGATCTGCCTGGTGATGCTTCGTGGAAACTCCTGCTGGATGCTGGCCGAGTACATCAACTTCACCTTGTGGGTCATCGGATCTTGTTTTACTGTGGGTGATGTAGAGGAGGATCCCGCCGCCAGCTTCCAACCCCACTTACCATCCGTCATTATCCCAGAGCCAGGACCCAGCGCCCACGTCCACAGTGGACAAAGAGCCAGAGCCCACCGCAGAGAGACCCTGCACATCCCTGCCATGGAGATATAGACTGAGATGGAGCCAGCAGCCACATTCGTCCTGGAGGAGGAGCCCGAGGTTCCGGCTGACCAGGTGTGTGAGCTGGCCATATTGTGTGCACCAGTGGGGATTTTAGTGGAGCTAGATGAGGAAAAATGGCTAATTGACTGAGAAACTGAGGTAGTGCTTCCCATCCTGTGTACCCATGAACCTTACTCCTGCATAAGTGTATTATCATCTCTGATCCCAATGAGCTCAGGGTCTTCATCATTGTTGATCCCAATCAGTTCAGAGTCTTCATCACCACCAGTCTTGTCCAGCACAGAAAGTTCTTCATCATCACTAGTTCATTCCTGCACAGATGGTTCTTCATCACTACCAGCTCTGTCCATCACTGAGCTGACTCAATCGCCCTGTCTTCCACTCCTGCACGCTCCCCTGAAGCCAGCTATTCCCTCTGCTCTTCCTCCGCTGGTGCCCCTCAGCTCCACCATCAGCCCTGCCATGCAGCCCTGATCCGCCTTTGGGATTCTGGTACCCAGTTATGCCCTGGCTTGAGGAGTCCCAGGCTCCGCCTTGTCTTTTGGAGCTCCTAGTTCTACCTCTGCCCATCGACCAATTGGCTCCATCCCGGCTCTTCGCTCCCCTCTGCTCCACCATGGACCGTCGCCCTGTTGGCTTCTCCGGGCTCCCTTGTCTCACCGGCTCTGCCCTCTCTACCATTGCCATGGACTTCCAGGATCTCCGCTGTGCTCTATCCCTGCACCCCTATGGCTCTGTCTGGCTCTTTCTTTCCTCAGATTACACCTCGGTCCCCACTTTCTCCATCATCACCATAGTTCTCTGGTGCCCTGGATCCTCCTCAGCCACACGTCGCTAGGACTCTACCTTGACCTTCTGGTCCTTCATCATTGCCTGGGCCTCCTCATTGCACAGTGACACTTCAGCCAGTCAGGCTCAAGTTTCCTTCCTCCTCTCTCCATCGGTTCCGCCAGAGATCGCCTCCCTCATGGCCATCTCCTGGACTGCACTAGGATCTTGTTGGCCATCCATAGCTCATCCCTTCATAGCTCCTTCTGCCGTCTACTCCTCCTTGAACTCTTTTGTCTGTCTATCTATCTATCTATCTATCTATCTATCTATCTATCTATCTTCGAGTGAGTCTTAAGACATCATATGCAAAGCATTGACAAACTCAGCAGACTTCTATGTCTTCTATGTCATACAAATGGCTCTTTCTTTCCTCAGATTACACCTCGGTCCCCACTTTCTCCATCATCACCATAGTTCTCTGGTGCCCTGGATCCTCCTCAGCCACACGTCGCTAGGACTCTACCTTGACCTTCTGGTCCTTCATCATTGCCTGGGCCTCCTCATTGCACAGTGACACTTCAGCCAGTCAGGCTCAAGTTTCCTTCCTCCTCTCTCCATCGGTTCTATCTATCTATCTATCTTCGAGTGAGTCTTAAGACATCATATGCAAAGCATTGACAAACTCAGCAGACTTCTATGTCTTCTATGTCATACAAATAACTCATAAGGAACAATACCTTAATATCTGAAAAGTCCAGCCTCAAAATGATCCAGTCACAGTGAAATTGTTGAGACCACCTTACCATACTAGGTGCTCTCCACTGCCACTAAATATTTTCCTTTATGATGTTCCCATGTTCCATGGTGATAATCTCCTCATATACACTGCTAATTAATTGGTGGTTTAATACACAGCAGGATAAAGTGTAATGCCACCCACATCCTCTCTAGTCACTAGATCTAAACACCACTGATCTGAAGCAGAATAGATTTAGAAATAGATTTCCACTGGCTTTGTCCTAAAGACCCCAGGCTCACGTTTTCTAGAAGAATGGGGTAAATTCCACCCCACATCATTCAGGAAATGTATGACAGCATTCCAGGAAGAATCAAAGGCAAAAGGTGGTCATACTCCTTATTAGGTCTTTGATATAAATATATTTTTAGGTTTCAAATTTTTTGTCCACCCCCCGGGTGTGTGTTTATCTCTCTGTAACAGTTTTTCCAAACCAAATTCAAACCTCTGGTCTGCTGGTGTGGTTATAATTCTCCAAAGGCATGTATTAAACAGATGGTTGGCAGAAAAAAATAAGATTGTCAGAATCCACTAACACTACACGCTGTATTAAAATTGAGCCAACGGAATGCAAGACTTTTTTTCTTTACATGACCGTCTTCCATGCTGATCTATACCACAGTTATGAGCTTAAGAGAGAAATTACAGGGTTCTCTTTTTGGCATGCGTTCATCCACTGTCGGATATATCTCTCAATGAAACAAAAGAACTCTGTAATCTTGGGTAATTTAATTCTTTTCTGGTGTAGAAAGCAAAGCCGCATATTTGTACTAAGCAGAGCACCATCTCTTATTGATCATTAATTTTCCTGGCTTCATTCAAGCCTTTTTTTTCTCCCTGTGTCAGTTTATTTGCTTAAGTTTGTTATTCTTTGGGTAAAATCATTATCATTTCCAAAAGTCTGGGGATTCGACAGGAAAAGAAACAAACCTCAAGTATGGGCTTTCTCTGAAAGATATGTGGCCCGACTTCAAACATGCTCGATGAAGCTCGTTTCAGGTGCAGATAAAACAACGATCTTTAATTTCGACAACATTTATGGCATCATGTGACCTACTACAAGAGAGTATCAACTTGGCAGCCTCACTTCTAGCCCTCAAAGGAAGTGAAAATAATCTCAGCTGATTGCTATCACCTGTGTTTCTCAAAGCGTCCAAAAGTTCTCCACAATCAGGGCAAGTGTTACAAAAACTTAAACTTGATATATTCTTTACAAGTCCAAATGAGACACCACAGCACTCACTCATAGCACATTTTACCCCCTCACTGCTCTGTACATCAGAAAGCTCTTCTTGTAATGTTGCCTGCTGAACAAATCATGTCCTTTGGCTAGTCTCCTCTGGGTCAGTGGTAAAAATAACTGCTTGACCTTCGGCATCATGTCTCCTCAGAGCTCTTTAAGTAGTGGTCTTGCTCTCTATGTCCAAATCAACTTCTGATTTAAAATCAGCTCTTGAATTTTAGTACATATACAGCAGGTTTTAACGTCACAGGTATCAATAATGTAGCAAATATCTGATCGCACTTGATGTGTTCGCAAAGTTTCTGGCATTTTCTTGCAAAGCATGATTGACTAGGACCAAAATGTGTAAGAAGGCAACAGTGGTCATAAAATGCTGAGATTTGGACTTATATGGTACTGCGGTGCGCCTATGGAATCCTTTGAAGAGCCAATAAAAGAAAGAAAGAGACTGAATGAGCAAAAAAACATAGAAGGTAACAGAGGTCACGTGTCCAGTCAAAGTTGTGTTTAGTCTGTTTAGTCAGCTAGAAATAAGAATGCTCCCAAGAAACCCTCAAAAAAGGGCCACAGCTCTGTCTGCAGCGAACAAAGTAAAAAAAAATAGAGCCAAAGCAGAGGCCAGGCGATGCATGTTTTGTTGGACTGTGTTTATTCTGGGTTCAGAAGTGGATCTTGTTTTATTCTCGGCGTCCCCGTTACGGATGCTTTTCCCCCCTCCCTGGCGTGCGCAAGCGGCTGAGAGACGTGTCCGCCCCACGCCACTGCTGTCCGCCGGAATAAAATAGCCAATTATTATCCCGTTGGCTTTTCCAGCAGCATGCCGCGGAATACGCTCTCCTTCTCTCTGAGGGAATAGTGGGCTCACTAACAACATAAACGCTAACATTTCATACTACTGGAGAGCAGGCGGCTCTATTCTAGGTTCTGTCTGGCATTCGCATGATTGCTGCAACTGAACGCGCAACCTAAAGCATGTTAACCAACCAACCCCACCGTGCGCTGCTAAAAGCAACAGTGCCTCTAAAGAGAGTGAGTTTACATTGCATCAGCCAAGACACATTAACCCTCTGACGGTATGCCATTACATTTTCAGACACTTTCTACAAGGGATATGTGTCTAACTCACACATTTATTGGTCTGAAGACGAAAAAATGGGAAGGCGTGACTTTAAAACTTAAATGACAACTATTTGTTATGTATATAGAATATTGGAGGCCAGAGATAGTTATTACTGGAGCTTTAACTCATTGAAATCACATAGTTCCTAAATTAGAATAATTTGTAGTTTTATAATACTAAATCATTTGTTTTAGCCTTCAAACTAAAATTCCAACATCATAATTTGCAATAAAAATGTTAAATATATATTATTTTATATACTATATTTAATATTGTTAAATATTTAACATGTACACATAAAACACTGTCCTGAGAAAAAAAAAATCAATAAATGCAAATGTATTATTCACTAGAGTAAACAGTTTGACAATCAGCCCTGGTTTCCCCTAAATGAGCTAAATGCGGTTGATAAAATCTTACATTAAATTAACAAAAGGGTATTCAAAAATATATTTAGATGTCTAAAAAAAAGCATCCGATGGATCTGGTTTCTGTAGTGCATTCACGAGGAAGCATTAGGTGAAACAGGGATCTCTGGCTTCCCACCACAATACTGGAAGTCTAATCTAATTAAAAACTAAACCAAATACATTGGAAAGGAAAGAAACACATAAGCTCTAGCCTGGGGGGGTAACCAATGTTGTATTTGGTTTCATCCATTTAGTTTTCTATTTTTTCCCATGTGTTTTGGTAGAATAATCTCCTCGCCAGGGAGAAAGACGAATCTGAATATGTGCCCTTGTATTGGAATACACAAACAAAGACCGTTTATTTCTTTAGAGAAAGACAAAAATGGTCACTTTAAAAATGGACAAAACTTCCTTGGGTAAACTCATTACAGCGAGCAGATATGTCAGCAATGAAAGGAAACTTAGTAACTATTTATAATATTTCAGCACAAAAACAAATATCTAAATAGGAAATTGCAAAAAAAATTACACCTTGTCCATAGCAATCGTCTAACCTTGTGTCCTATCGATAACAATTTTTAGAACAGTTAGTTTTCAAATCTAATTAGACAAGCCGTGTGCTTGTATTTAGTATAAAACACAGAGATGCTTGTATTGCTCAGTTTGACTGTGTTTGTGTCAGGCTTTCTGGTTCAACGACGCGCAACGGTTGATGCTGCTTTGCTTCATTTGGAATAATTTTCTTTGGTGGAGTAAAAATAGACAAAATAACCATCCATGTTATGTCTATAATGTAAGTTAAGTGATATTAACTTGTCCCAAAACAAGGTGGCAGATGGTTGACATAACAACAAAACAATGTTGTTTTACATACACAAAACTGCAGAAATCTAATTAAACACCTTTTTACTCAATATTTTTCATTAATGTTTGAGAAATGTTTATCACCCACTATGTTTATGGATATCATACATTTTGAAACTGACACAATTAATTGTCAATTGGTCAAAAGGCACATTTAATGGCCAATGTCAATCTCAAAATTTGCATGTATATCTGCCAATTAACTAGCCTGCTGTAAACAGAAGCCTAAATTGCTTTTAGCCATTTTTCCAAAAGCCACTTTCTTTACTGAAGGTTCCTACTGTACATGCACAAACAAGCACACTAAAATAAGTCAAAATCTACAGCCAAACACCGGTTTTCGGCGAGGAAAGATCCATCCACACATCCAGAATCTAGATGGGGATGTTGCGGTAATAGACTAGCATTATCATAGCAGAGCTGTTTTACTGCCAAAGATTACATCAACCTGAGATTTCAGAGAAAGTCCATTATTGATGAATTGCTCGGCACTAAGCAAATCCAAAAAAGGAAGGTTAGTATTCAGCCTCAATCCGAAATGGTCACAGATGACACGGTGTGATTATACAACAGGGAGTTCATCCCAAACCAACAGAGCAGCGTTTCTTTGTGTTTGTGTGGGAAGTTGGCACACGATGATAAAGCTTCTGATGCCAGCGATGGCTGTGATGTTAATCTTCTTCCATGAGGTCATTCACCAGGAAAACTTTTTGACAGCCATGGCAACCGCTATTATTTACTTTCGTCTTACGTTAGGCTAACAATTCACAGACTTGCCTATGACTGCCTACTACAGATCAACTTCCACACTCTCATCTAGCCATGAACAGACTCTTTTTCAAATCACATTTGTGTGGTTACAAAAAATTAAGCCAATTGTTAAGTGGCATTATGTATCAGTAGTAAAATAGAGAGTAAACCCATAAAAGTAATCCTCTAACTGCACACTAGACATTCAATCAAGTTAGTTCAAATGTTCCATTTGGCAATTTAGGTTTTAGAAGGGTGCTCACAGACGCCCTCTTTCTCAAAGTGCTAAGGGCCTCATTTGGGACCAAGGCCAATCTGCCTGGACTGCTGTTACACACCATTTTTGAGTCATGGTGCACAGGTTTTTATCAATCCATTGGAAGAAAAGTTACAATAAGTACTTTTGAGGAAAAATGTGCCACTATAGTTGCCAATGTTTTGATAATCTTTGAATCTTTGAACAGAGTGGACAGTTAATGGACAGCTATAATCAAGCTGCAGCAGTTTTTTTGTGTAGTTGAGTTGCAGTCTGTCTAAAGGTGGGGCCACATTAGTGAAATGTTGACAAAATTTTGTGGACAACAAAGGTCCATTGTCTATTGCCAATAGTGTAGCGATTTAATCCTGACACAGAAGTCATTTTCAAACCAAGCAGCTTTCTGTTCATCAATACAATGTATCCGCACATGACCAATCTGAACCTATTGTGAAATCTGCGATGGAAATTTTTCATCCTGCCGCAAAATTCCCAATTGTATAGATTCCAAAAATAACTGGATGATAACTGCAAAAATTCGCCAAATAAAGGTAAATGTGGTCGCATCTTACACTTGACACAGTTGTGATCAAATATTTGTCATGCATCACCTCTATCTTTCAGAGCATTCGCCAAACTCTGTGTCAAGTTGTATTCTGATTAACATGCATGCATGCTAGACGAATCTGATCTACATTCCTTATTAAGGGATTTTAACGTGACTAGTCACAACTTTATTTTAAAAGATTGCAAATATATTTTTATCAGTCATAACTTCTGGAGAAAAACAGAGCAGACACTAGACAAAGACTAAACTTCCTAGAGCACGTGTCGACCGCCTGCATTCAAGCATGCTATCAAAAGGGGAACCTAATGGTTAGAGAGTCGGACTCGTAACCCAAGGATGCGGGTTCGAGTCTCGTACCTGCAGGGATTGTAGGTGGTGGGGGGAGTGAATGTACAGCGCTCTCTTCCACCTTCAATACCACGACTGAGGTGTCCTTGAGCAAGGCACCGAACCCCCAACTGCTCCCCGGGCACCGCAGCATAAATGGCTGCCCACTGCTCCCGGTGTGTGTGTGTTCACTGCTGTGTGTGTGCACTTTGGATGAGATAAATGCAGAGCACTAATTCCGAGTATGGGTCACCATACTTGGCCACATGTCACGTCACTTTCAAATGGACACTTTGAAAGGCTATGCATTCTACTGTAGTCATATGCTAGCGTACGTGTATAAAAACTAAGTATACTTTTGGGCTTCACTCTCATTAGAGTATTAATAAACTAGTTATGGTTAGAGATAGGGTTAGGGTTAGTAGAATAAGTTGACACACTCTAAAAAATGCTGGGTTAAAAAGGGACAAACCCAGCTATTGGGTTGTTGTGACCCAGCGGTTGGGTTGTTTTGACTCAGCTTGATGGTGCATGGACTTGAAAATTGACTTATAGTCAGTAGAATGTTTAAAGAAAAAGTGTTACCCATGGTGTTATTTTACAGGTTGCATCTAGTTGTTAAAACTTTTGTAAGATTTGCATTTGGTTCTACCAACATTAATAGTGGGGTTAAGTGTATGCAGTGTATGCAACACTTTTCTCAGAATGAGAGTTACTATGTCATGATGTTTTCAGACTAGATGCTAATAGTCAAAAGTCGTCTATGTCTGGTTGAAATGTAGTGTTTTTTAGGACTTCCTCACTGCTAACTAAGCCGGGCGCACACTGGGCCGTACGTGTATAAAAACTAAGTATACTTTTGGGCTTCACTCTCATTAGAGTATTAATAAACTAGTTATGGTTAGAGATAGGGTTAGGGTTAGTAGAATAAGTTGACACACTCTAAAAAATGCTGGGTTAAAAAGGGACAAACCCAGCTATTGGGTTGTTGTGACCCAGCGGTTGGGTTGTTTTGACTCAGCTTGATGGTGCATGGACTTGAAAATTGACTTATAGTCAGTAGAATGTTTAAAGAAAAAGTGTTACCCATGGTGTTATTTTACAGGTTGCATCTAGTTGTTAAAACTTTTGTAAGATTTGCATTTGGTTCTACCAACATTAATAGTGGGGTTAAGTGTATGCAGTGTATGCAACACTTTTCGCAGAATGAGAGTTACTATGTCATGATGTTTTCAGACTAGATGCTAATAGTCAAAAGTCGTCTATGTCTGGTTGAAATGTAGTGTTTTTTTGTAGGTTTTTTAGGACTTCCTCACTGCTAACTAAGCCGGGCGCACACTGGGCGATTTTTAATAGACCTTTACGATTGTTGCTTGTCAGACTGTACAAACATGATGATCAGGTCACACTGTGGGATCTCACTTGTCATTAATGTCAGACTCTGCAACAGTCAAGACACGTTAAAATCATCTGCGAGCAAGAAAACGTACCCATACACGTTCACTGCGAGCTGCATTACACGCGGGGCTGAAATGTTGGCTATCATGAAAAGTATATGAATGGCGGCATATTTAAGAAGAATAGTGTAAGCAGCACTACAAACCCAAATGAAAACAGCGGTGCAACCAGTGTTTATCATAGCAAAGACAACATATCATATGAATTCTGTGAGCGGGGGATGGGAGAAATCTCAAGCATTAATTTAAAAAAAACGAAGACAGTTTGACGTTCGTCTTAGGAGAAGTCACACTGCAAGACTGTGCGCCAAATCTTCTGACACTGCCAGAATTTCGTCGGAGGTAAAATTTGATCTCAGCGGCCATTAATCGGCTGTCGGTGAACATGTCAAACCAGCAATCAAAAACTACAGATTTTAGCCTAGGATTATAGGAATCTTTTAGGATTTTCAAAATTTGTCTCTGTACGACTAAATCGTACAGTGTGAGCTGGGCTTTAGATCAGCAAATGAGATGGAATAATGGATTATATTATACTGTATATGATTGCATTAGGTCAAGCATTCTTCAAATGCTCTTTTCACTTACTCCAAAAAGCTGGTGATATAGTCCTTGCTGCAGGCTGACCAGGAGAAGGGGTTGGTGTTGGCTGTGATATGGGCCGCCATCAGCTTGGCTGTCTCGTGACCTTTGGTCCCGCAGGAGTTCCCAATCCCATCGTGGTTCATGCCGAAACTGTGAGACAAGCAGCAGATCATGAACTTTGATGGATCACGTCGCCCACCCTGCACACAAGCAAACAAGCTCGGGCAGCTCTGAAAGCTCAGGAGCGGAGGACATCTCCTTCAGCTAAGCTGTAAAGAGAGGCTCATTCTGGCTCAGTAACAGCTGTGAGAAGGGGACAGATGGGTCAAAGGCCAGAGGCTGTCTGGAGCTCTGAAGGAACGTGAAAGTTGTAATCACCACCCTGATCCAGGCCTGTCAATCAATAATTACACGTTTGAGCAGACCTCAATCGGGCAGTCATCTCTTAATGAACCTGGCCTGCCTTTCCCCCTTCCTCCAAGCTGCTTTCATCTGCTCACGGGCCATCGGCAACTCCACAAATACATCATTTGAGCCGTGCAAATTTTGGTCCCTTACATATCTCTCTGGATATTGTATGAAAAAATCAGATCACTTTACGGCGAGACCTCTAAGCTTTCGTTGTCAGCCCGGGGTCTATTCAAAAGCAGAAGTCAGCCTCTAATGCATATAACATACCCCCCACCACATCACACAATTCCTCTGTGTTTTTTTAAGGCGCACATTTATGACATTTCACTCTACTCTCAATATAAATCAGCGCAGGAGAAACCTTCCCCACAAGATGCAGGGGCTATTTTTACAACTTCTCCACAACAGAAGCAGACGCAAGACATAATAGAGCAAACTGCCATCTCGCTGAACTTAGCCGAAAAGCTACATAGACCAATAGATCATGGTTATTTTTCTAAGCTTTTGGGATAGGGTTCGTTTGTCCAGACTTTCATTTGCATAAAGATGTGTGTGCAGGCAGTTCACGCTTGGCATTTTGGCTGGAGGATTATAAATAGTAATGACCACAATAAAACCAATCCAGACACAAATACATTATGAGATGTGAAAGTGCCACATGTAGAATACTGAGCAATTTTTCAACCACAAGGGCTTTAATAAAGTCCTGACAATCTCATTACACACTCAGGGGTGAATTCACTGAACAGTTGCATTACTTTTGTGTGCTGTATTTCACTTGCTACCCGCAATCCAGTTTAATTATACTAAATGCTCTAAAACAGGTGTCCAATAAGATCAAGAAAAAAAAAAAAATGTAACTGAAAGATTTTCATTAAAAATGTAGTTTAAAACTTGAAAGGTTCTGTGAAAAGAAAGGTTGTTCGTTAATTTATTTATTTATTTAAAAAGAAAAGGTTTTTGAGGAGTTACACCACGTGACAGTCTGAACTAAGCTTGTCTTGTTATTAAAACATTGAATTTTCTTATATTTTAACTAGTGCTGTCAAACGATTAATCGCATCCAAAATAAAAGTTTTTGTTTACACACATATATATATATATATATATGTGTGTACTGTGTTTATTTATTATGTATATATAAATACACACACATACTGTATATATTTTGAAAATATTGACATGTATGTATATTTATATTATTATATTTTATATTATATATAAATATATATAATATATAAACATAACATATTTTTTCTTAAATATATACATGCATGTGTTTGTATTTAAATATACATAATAAATATACACAGTACACACTCATATATTATGTAAACAAAAACTTTTATTTTGAATGCGATTAATCGCGATTAATCGTTTGACAGCACTCATTTTAATGATTTGAGTTGGTTGAACCCAGAGCTGATCCTCCTATATGCAAAATACGCAAGCTGCGTAGGACCCTCGAAACACCAGGGGGCCCCCTTGCTCTCAAAGATGATATAATTTTAGGTTAGTTTTTGAATTTGGCCAGCAGTTATGAAAACATGAATGTTCATTAATGCGGTGCGCTGTCGCCCTTTCTACGTAAAAATCAGTCAAATCATGTAACATCATTGTCATACAGTCTCTTTCTCGAGACAAAAAAAGCTAGTTTAAAGCGTACAGAGCTGCGGAAGAGACACTGTTTCTCAAGTGCTTTCCGTGAGCGCGATTCGAGCCGGAGTGAACACAGATAAAGGCGTTTCATTCATTCATAACTTGCCAACCCACCCCCCACCCCCACAGTTTTGCGTAGGGCCCCCAGAAGTCTAGGATCGGCACTGGTTGAACCACATAACACCACATTTGGCAGATAAAGGCTTTTCGAATTTACAGTTTTGTTAAAATAAGATTTTCTTGAGCAATAATACCAAAAGAGTTTTTTTTTCTTCATTATGTTATCAAAACATTGAGTCGTGGTGCTCATACAAGAAAAGTGAGTTCAAATCTGGCTTGCAACATTCTTGTTTTCTTTTCTCCCAAATATTTTCCAATAAAAGTGCCAGAAAGTGTATAAACTCACTGTAAACAAGACAATTTAAAGGGATAATTCACCCAAAATTGACAATTTCATAATCATTTATACTTTCTGACTTCATTGACATCATAGCCATTGACTTTTCTTTTTTTTTTTCTTTTTTTGGGTGTACTCTCCCTTTAGGTTTCAAATTGTAATAGTGACGCCTGCCTTAGCAAACACCACTAATTAACTGCAATTAACATATTACAATCTATATCCATAAGACTGTTCACATTTATTAATTCAGAAAGAAACACAAAGACAAATAGAGAGAGAAAATATACTTACTTGTGTCCAATCTCATGTGCAATAGTGAAGGCTGAACCAAGGCCTATATCTTCATTAATACTGCAGCTCCTCTCTGGCTCACACATTCCGGCTACGGACGCCAAACCTGACCACACATACACATACATACGTACATACATACATAAGGTCAGGTCAAGGTGTAGAAGTGCTGCACTGAGTCACCACCATAAAATGAGATTCTTCACATTAACCTTGACACCACTGAATTTGAAGCTGGTGAAAAGTTTACGTGAAAGTTTTTTTAAATCACCAGGGGGTGGGTCAACACTGACGGCTAGACGATTAAATAAAAAAACAACTGATGTTGTAGCTGGAAAATGTCTAGACATGGGGGTTAGATTTATAAATTCTACATCTGGTAACAAGGGACCACCTAGTAATTCAA